GGGATAGGTTGGAGAGGTGTGGGAGGTGGGTGGGTCGCAAAGAAAAGAGAGGCAGAGGAGGAGAAGAAGACGATGAGGAGAGGAGGAGAGAGGGTAGAGGGTTGAGGAGAAGCCGATCTACTAGGGAAAGATGGAGGATGATGGATGCCAGGTGTCGGCGCAGAAGGTATGCCACGTGGCGGCTCCTATGGTACAGTGGGAGTTAAAGAAACTCGAGGGTGTCGTGTATTGCCACGTGTCGGCGTTTGGCAGGACTTTTTTTTTTTTTTTTTACAGACACAATTACACACGGCCCCATTTATTCTGGGGTGCATCCGTCCCGTTTGCTTATCCACCGGCTAGCATGAAGAAAAGTGTTATCGAGGGAGAAGGATTAATAGATCCCCTCTTCCCCCTCCCCTTCTCCCCCCCCCCCCCCCCCCCCTCGCTTTCCTCAACCTCCTTGCCCCCTTGCTAAATCGTATCCGAAACAACAGAGTATAAAAATAAAAAATATTATTAAAGAGGTGCAAAAGGCAACTTATTAAAAAGGCAATACTTCGTATCAACAACCCGGAAAAAAAACAAAAACAAAACAAAAAAAAAACTCTTTGTATCAACCATATCTTCGAGTTAGGAATAAGTAAGGGCAGATTTGCAATAAGCCGGATCGGCGACTCCCCCTAGGATGAGGGCCCCTGGAAGAGACCCCTTGATAAGACCCCCTCAGATTGTCGAATAATGGAGCACAAATTTGAAATATTATGTGGTTTGCTTTGGGGGCTGATTTGGCCACGGCAGGGAGGAGACTCCCCTTGGAAGACCTGTTCTGGCAAGCCGGCCGAAACAGCTGTCGGGTTCCTTTTTGCCAGCTGCGCTTCATGACACGGTGGTTCTCGCCAGATGGCGGGTCTCACCATTTTGATTGAGCTTATTGCAATATACTGAGCTGATTCTCTTCTTCTTTTTTCTTCTTCTTCTTTCTTCTTTCCTTCTTCTTGCTTCTTTCTTTTCATGTCGTTTCATTGGGCTTTGAGTGTTCACACTTGGCGATTGTCATTGCATGGAGGTTTGCTTTTCTCTACTCCCCTTGGAAGGGAAGATTTGGAATAAGCCGGATCACTGACGGTGTCATCGAGGAAAAGACCAGGAGGGCTGATTTTCGATAAGGGATCCGGTTAATTGCAAATCTGCCCTGCCAAGCGGGCTGATGTCCGATGTCCGATAAGCGATCGGGCTTATTGCAAATCTGCCCTGCCAAGGTGCACAAATGGTGTCATAGGTGGTGTCATTTTCGGCGAATTTTTCACTGAAATTAGTAAATTACCATATTTCCTTGATTTATTATTATTTTATTATTATTATTATTATTATTATTATTATTATTATTATTATTATTATTATTATTATTTGTGTGTGTGTGTGTGTGTGTTTTGTCTTCAACGTATTTGGACCAGTAACGAAATAGTTGGCAAAAATATCGAATTCGGAGAAAAATCATAAAATGTGGCGAACTCCGAAAGCTACTCCGAATTGCGAGGCCACTGCCTCGATGAGCCCCATTCAGCCCCTTTCCGGGAGCCTGTCGGCCGCCCTAAGTGAAGGCAGGCTCGACGAGGCCCCTGAGGGCCTTATTTCGGCCCCTGCGCAACTCAAGGAAATTCAGGCAGTTGCGCAGCGCCAGTTGGTTGAGTAAACCCAGGCCCTGAGCCGCCTGTGTGAATGTATGTGAAGCAGGCCCTGGGCTGGATACGGGTACTGGGCCAAACACAGGCCAAAGGCAGTTGGGCACATGCAACCACCTCAGGCCCAAGGCCTGATTTCTTCGAGCTGGGCCACAGGCTACCGGAGCCTACTGGAAGCCTGCGTCGGGTCAACAGTCGCGCAGACCGTGAGTCAGTCCACTGGCGTTATGGCAAGCCAGGCAACAATGTTGACCCCAGAGGATGTCGCCATCCAGCAGGCAGCCCCGCAGGAGGCGCAGTTACAGCAGGCATTAGGACAAATAAAAGTGAAGAAGGAGAAGATGATTAGAAGAAGAGCCAGGATGCAGCGGAGAGGGGCAGACATAGAGGAGTTAGACACGATGGACCTGACGAACATGGATGAAGATGTGAGGGTAGTTAGGAGGGCCCTGCTAGGAGTAATAGAGATGCAGGAGCATCAGACTACCATCCTTCAGGATATCCAACAGAGCGTAGCCATTCTGGTAGGGCGTGCTCAGGCGGCACCATCACCATCCGGGCCTGGTGCCTGGCCCGTGTCATATCCTCCTTTTTCTGTCCCACCGGTGACAGGGGTATCCCCATATGTAGCCCCGTCATCGCTGCGATCGTTTCCCTGGGCATGCAGCTGTCAGGAGGGGTATCAGCAGGGACTAGTTTACAGGTTCCTGTTCAGACAGTGTTCACCCAAACTCCGTCGCAGGTTGCAGTCACCACGTAGCCTGCTGTCTCGCAGCCTGTGCAGCCGCAGGGCACACAACCCCAACAATTGGCACAGCAATCTGTGGCACAGGGTCCACAACCCGTAGTGATGCAGGGACCGGGATAGACCCAGTGGGTTCCAAAGACGGCCATCGCCGCTCCCAAACCTTTTACAGGAGACAAGAGAGGCGAAGACCTCGACACTTGGTTGAGGGCGGTGCCAGTCTACGTCAGGTGTAAACTCACCTTGCCACACGAAGAAGTGCTTGTGGCTGCTTCTTACCTAGAGGGTAGTGCAGCAAGATGGTTGAGTGGTTTAGTGCAGCTCCAGGGGTATGGTCATGACTTCCGCGCTTGGGCGGTCACCCAGAAATTGGACTTCTTGAAGATGGTGGAAGAAAGGTGGCATGATCCTCAGGAGGCCCAAAGGGCCACTGATGCGATCCTGACACTGCACACGCGGCAGTTTAAGTCAGTAAGGGAAGCCACCGACGTTGTTGAGCGTTTGATCTATGTCCCAGGGGTGGGCTATGACCCCCAGGTCCTGCTTACCTCGTACTTGAGATGCTTTTCTCAGCCTCTCAGGAACCAGTTGGCAAGAGAGGCCAACATCAATATGCACAACTTTCCTTCGTTCAGCAAGATGGCCCTAGACCTTGAAGCTAAGATAGGGCATGGACAGGCACCCACTACGGATGGGAGAAAGAAGACACTGCCTCCTAACTGGAAGGCGAAGGGCCGCTTAATGTTTGTCGATAACGATGGTTCTACTATCGAAGTAGACGAACACTTCCAGGAGGGAGTAGGTTCAGAGGCGGGCAGCGTAGAAACTTGAGAGGGTGGAGTGGTCGCTGCCGTAGCCAAAAAGGAAAGGCGACCGGTAGACGCCGTGGAGGTTCCCGGTTTAGGAGTCAAGTTGACCCCAATGCTCCTCCATGGGAGAAAGCGGGTCTTACAGAGGACTTGTGGAGAGACCGTTACTCACGGCAGGCCTGTATTTGTTGTGGTCAATATGGCCACAACCAATTCAAGTGCTGCAATAAGAAAGTGACAGAAAAGATCCCGCCTACGATGGGGCAGGTATTGTGATCCTCTCATCCCGTTGGTAGCAACGTTGCCAGTACTTCAGGTAGTGCTTCGGGAAACACGTCGGGCCAGTAGGAATAGTAGCTGTTCCTGCTAGGGTCGAGGTGGTGGAGACACCCTCACCATCTCGAGAGATGGCCCAAGCTTCTGACTCCAGCGTCGTCCCGCAAGCACATTCAGACCCATCGAGCCTCTGTTCGATGAATGTGTTTGAGTCCTTAGAGGAGCTAGAGGTGGAGTGGTCTAGATCAGACCCGCTAGCTTCTTGGACGACATTAGTCAAAGCCCCAAAGGGTGAGATGTTCGTCAGCGAGGTTGTTATTGGCGGCCACAAGGCCGGGGCCTATTATGACACTTGCTCGACACGAAACTTTATTAGTCGCGCATGCGTTCAGAGACTGCGTTTACAGGGGCAAGTGCAGCGCTTGAGTCGACCTGTGGAGTCGACCTGTGCCAACGAACAGCGCATGGTAGTCAATGACTACCTCCAGGATGTTGAGTGTTGTTTCCTGTACGCGGGAGGGGACTTGAGACATCGCGTCTCGTTCCTAGTGAGTGACGAACTCCCAATGGATATGTTACTAGGTATGTACTACCTCTCTGTAGCACAGCCCCAGTTTGACTGGGACCGAAAAGTG